TATTTTTCAAAAACTTTTTGACTTTTCGAAAAAACCGGGATATATAAGATAGAACGCATGCTTATGACTTACTCTAGCAAGTTTTAGCGAGATATCTTCAAAAATGGCCAATTCATACGCATTATAGCAAAAATTACACAATTTTAATTTTTTTCCAAATCAATTTTTTCCGTACGAATTTGACATCGTACATCAATATAAATAGCACCATCGTGTTCCTGAGCTCAAATTGCATCCGATAGACCAGTTTTTTATTCAAAAATTTCAACTTTGAAATTTGACCTTTTTGACCTGAAAGTGACCTGACCTCAGCTATATTCAGATGAAAATGGCCTCAAATGACACAGGCGACACCGAATTCGAAACCTATGGCCTAAATGGACCATAAAACATGTGTCACGTGACCGACTTCTGACATCAGATTTCCGTGACCTATGATGACCTGACCCTCACCTGAAAATCAAAGTACAAGTTTGGTACCCTCAGGGTATCTAAAGCATCTGTTCACGAGTGCGTAAACCAAAACTCAGCCTGATTTGACTTGTAAGACGGCAGCCAGAGCCCAAAATGTGAACAAGCCAAATATCGATAATTTTTACTTTGACCTGAACTGTGACGTCATCGGTGACCTCGAGATCAATGAAATTAGGTTTCGCTCGACAGTTTTTCCGGGGCTATCAGATGCCGTTTGAATTTTGACGATCGACCCAGTAGTATCGGAGTTAGGAGGGGGGGCTATGTAGCCCCCCCCCCCCCCAGTAGGGCGTGTGATACACAGACCCCAGTGGGGCGCGGGTTAAAGGGACACTCCCACCTTAACATTAGTTTTGAGTTGAGATAGCCAAATTGGTGGCCATGGCCTGCAAATACCGGTTTGGGCACTCACAACATCGACAAATGCTTTAATTCGGAGATATGGAATTTCAAACTTGCAGTTTTCGGATTCTAAGGGGCTAGTGCATTGGTATGCCCCCTTAGAATTTGTGACGTCAGCGGAGATCTAACGATTTTTAAATCTTTTACTAAAACGTTTGGTAGCACGCGGTGGTATATGCTGCTTTGCGCGCAACAAATGCCGCACTTTCAAATAAAGTCGCTAGGAACAGCGGAGATCCCAAAAAGTAAACAAAAGTAAAAGTCCAATATCTTGAAAACCGGTGAATATTTTTCGATGAAATTTGGTAGATATTCGTTTTCGCTCTTTCTGAACCGAGCGACATCACTTTCGTGCCAATTCATTAACTTTTTTGAAGGTGGGAGGGTCCCTTTAATGATAATGATAAAAAAGTAGGATAATTTCCAAGGTCCTGGGCCACAACGTCCTCAATCCGCATATCATAGTGGAATCTTCACGACGCAATGATGCAAACAATGTGCAATTTCACTTTAATGCTATCCGCCGCGTAATCGCAACATCACAGCAAAACAACTTTAATCTAGGTTCTTGAAAAGAAAAACAGCGAGACCATATCCTAGTGGTCGTCTTTCCAGAACAGAGGTTTGCGGTTTGCGCGCCGCAAGGTTTTTACTTCTTACTTGGTTTTCAGAGCACTCACTGAAATTGACACGAGTCGTGAGGCCCAAGAATAAGTGATTATTGAAAGTCGTAAAACAAATGCAAAAATAAAGTTTTAGAATCTGAATCACCCGAAAAGGAAAATAGGCACTCAAACAAGTAAGCACCCACGTGAAAAAGGTTATGAATGGGACCAGCTATATGCGAATGAAAATGAGAGCAAGTTTTAATGCTTTTAAAAACATGATCAAAGCAAAATATAATTCATTTTGTGATGAATTTGAAAACTCATTTACCAACCGAAATATTTCAACATTTTAACTTTACATCACATCATCAACACACGAAATTTACATTAGGGGAGAGTGGGGTAATTTGGCCGCTTTTTTTAGAAAACGATATAACTTAAAATTGACGACACATTTCTGCATTTTCTCAACGCTGGCAGGTGTCGCATTCATTTTACTTTACTGGACAGTGAAATTGAAATGATAGAGTAATTACTTATATTGAAATTGTGACGTATTACAAAGGTCTGCAAGGCGGCCAAATTGCCCCACTAGCAGGGTTATTTGGCCGGGGGTGTGGGGCAAATTGGCCGGTGTTAGTTTGCGGTCGGGATTTTCTGTTATATTGCGAGTCAGCTTCAGATTCAGCAATGACGTGTGTCCTATGACGCATTTGCTGCATTTTGGAGGTTGGCTCAGGGGTCACAGGGGTCAAAATAGCCAAATTAGCGGCTCTAGATGCGATCACCGTTTTTTACGAATAACTTTTGAAGTAATCAAGCTAGGCCAAAACTTTGAGTACCATCGTAATTCTCTCGTCAGTCCGCATCCAAAGATATATGTGTTGACCTTGAGAAGTCAAGGTCAAAGGTTGACCTCAGGTCACGTTGCATCAGGTCGCTTAACCTCAAGGTCACGTGATTTCAAGGTCATCATGCATATCATTCGATGCGCCTTGGCGAGCTGAACAGAATGAGACCATTTGTGCGGCTGTACCATTTTTATGTAAGGATTTATTAGCAAAAAAACGTTTGGTAACCTTTGATGACGTCACATGCTCTTACAGTTGACCAATCGGAAGTAAGGCATCAAAGTAGTCAAAGTTGGTCATGAATCATGTCATTAATGGTACAATTGACCATGAAAACTCGGCCGTCCCAGCATAGTGACCATGAGCGCACCGGCCAAGTTGCCCCACTAGTCCCGGCCAAATTACCCCATATTGCCATTCTGAAAATTTATGTCTATAAAGTCATCACGGCTTTACGGAATTAGATAAAATTGCTTTTGGAACCGCTGAACACCCCCAAGAATGGCGCTATAATGTCTGAATTCGTTTTTAGCCCAAATACTACATGTTATACAACTTTGTAAACAGAAGTAAAAGTTACCATTTTCTAATGAAATTAACGTTTTATTAATTTTGAATAAAACTACGAGGGGCAAAGTTTTGACATTTGTCCTCCAGTTATTTCTACCCATGACAAATGAATAGAGACTAGAGTTATTTCACTCACTTTTATAAGACACCGTACAGGTGGGGGCGGCCAATTTACACCACCGGCCAAATTACCCCACTCTCCCCTACAGAAATCCGACGGGATAAACCCAAGTGTGAAGGTGAATCTGTCATATTGCATTCATCTACTCTGTTGCTGATCATGCAGCGCACGTTCTGGACTGCATAATTTCAACATTACAGGCCCAGCCGGTATGTAAGTGTACGTTGTACGACGACGTACGACGCTGTACGACCATCTTGCAACCTCTCCAAGGCAAGGTGCGATATATGCACATATGATAATACGTCTGAGAGGCGACCAGCGGCCATAACGGCTGGCCGACTCTCTTCAAGGTAACGTTGCTATCCAGGCGGTATGTAAGTTATATGCAAGATGGGCGGCCATCCCGGCCCAGCCGACCCTCTCCAAGGCAGCTTTGTCCGTATGGTATGCAAGTAGTCTAGACGATCACCGGTCATCCCTGCTCTTCCGAGCCTCTCCAAGGTAACGTCACCGGAGCTCCCCGCCGCCTTCGGTTCCCTCAGAGTCGCGGTCGGGAAGCACGCCAACTTATCCCAGAAGCACCACTGCCGGCCCTCGCCACGGGCCCTTCACCGATTATGACACCGCCAGCGAGAGATGGCTGTCCTCGGCCGTCGCCGCGACCAAAGCAGACACTGCACGGCAGATCTAATGACGTATGCCTAGCGACGACTGCATTGGAGACTTACCGCTAAGGTGATGCTCCTTGTTCAGGAGACGAAGTTCCCTGGCTGGCGGCCTTCATACTGATTTTGAATGTTATTTTTACCAGCAGTGCCTATGTAGTTCTAAGAAGAGCAGACAAGCTGGCTGGAGTATGCTCAAAACCAGTTTCATAGTAGGTACACAAATCAGAAAAAATAAATCATTGAACGCATTATGTAAAATATGTGTCGCGCTCGGGTACCAAATTGAAGCGCAAGTTTCTTGTCACTCGCTTACGAAATGTCATCTGAGGGCGCATTATGACTCCATGTATGAGTAAATAGTTGGTGTATGACATTTCGAGAAAACAAGAATGGACCTAACGCAGGGAAGAGTTGAACCATGTTGAACTAAATTGGAAAGGTGGATCGTGGGCCAGAATTAATGTTATTGCTTTTGGAAGTCGAGGAAAAACAGAAGAAGTGATTGACCTTAACCAAATGTCCCCTCTTTACCGTTCCCGGTAGTACAGATGCATCATTTGTGTTGCATTGTAGTCGTGTAGGTACATACGTATGTGCATTGGTGCATGAATGTGTACAAGTGAACGCCCATTCTAGCATTATATTAGGTATGTATGTATAAATTGTATATGGTAAAGAAAAGTGGGAAACTAATCAAATGTTACTTTGAGGTTAAAGAAATGATAACTGTTATAGTTAAGATGTAGGCCGACATAAGAGTTACTATAAAGCAATACAATAAGAACATTTCACTTTTGATAAAATTGTCATTTTACACATCGGTGGGAGGCCTATATCCAGCACGCTTAAAATCGCACAGCGTGACACAAGAGTTAGCATTGGAACTTTTAACAAGCGAACTTGACATTCAGTCGAAAACGTTTAAGAATAGAAACATAGACCTCACATTTTACAGAGGTCTTTGATAAAATTCACGATAGATTCAGTTGGTCAATTAAGATGTCATAAGCAACGAGAGCCGAAATTATTATGAAAGGGGGGATGCTTGTCAAACCCCCCCCCCCCAAAAAAAATATAATAAAGGCAATTATTAAAAATAACTAATAAGCTTTATACGAACGTATCGTTTTCACTTATTGCATCAGAAATTCGAAGCTCCAATGTTGTGTATGTTATATCCACTGCGCAAATGTCTGGCAACGCAGGAGACTGGCAACCGAAGACCGATGCCCCCGAATTATGTAAACTGGTGACTCTGGAACGTTTCGACAGCCTCTCCCGTTGGCACTTTATAATCAAAAGGTGACTTCGCACTTCGTATATATTCAATAACATAACAGCACATGAACAGACATAAATAAAATAGGCAAGCAGAATATTCGATTAACACCGCACAACCATCAAGAGCTAGGCCATGCACTATAGACCACTCGAGTTCAAATAAACGAATATCAAAGCCTGGCAACTTAGCGGCCTTCTCTGCCGTAACGGTCACTCATCAAACACTGAAACAACACACCGACACATCCTCGACAATCAGCACCAAAGTCACGCGCCCAATTTCCGCTGTCGCTCGCAACAATACCCGGTTCGCCCAGCGTGCCGGAAGTGATGATGACGTTACCGTGCCCTGAGGTCATCCGGCACGTAATTTACCACAAAGGACAGTTTCCTGTCGCTGCGTGGGACAAGGTCAGCAGCGCCGGAGCGTGCGTCCGAGCTTCTTCGCGACGCGACCTCCATTTGGCTTGAGATCTTCTATGGAGTCAGCATCGGCAGCTTCCTTTGCCGGGCATCTGGCAGCACGCACGACAGAGCGGCCAGATTCGCGGGCCGGGGTCTACGGCCGCCCTCTTGCCGAATACTTCGCTTCAAAGAGCTGAAAAGCAGCTGTGTCGCTCACTCGACGGTGTCAGGCCTCACGAGACGGCCCCAGAAGAGCGGCACGCCCGTCTTGGTGTCGCGGATCACGAACAGGAAGGGCCGGTTGGCGATGAAGCTGGAGCCGAAGCTCCCGCGGCTGACGAGGCCGACGGTGGCGGCGGCCGCCTCGGTGCCCGTCTCGTGGACGTCGATCACCGCCTGGTGCACTACCTCGCTGAGGAACAGTGGTCCGTCCGGCGACAGGCGCTTCAGCGACGCGTGGATCGGGTCAAACAGGTCAGCGGCGCCCATCTTCTGCAGGGCACCCGCCAGAGAGAGCGTGTGCGACATCTTGAAGCGCGGCAGTCGCACCAGCAGGGTGTCCTCGCGAAGCGAGTTGACGATCTCCGTCAGAGAGGCCGAGCCCAGGTGCTGCTCGAGGCGGCGGAGCGCCTCCTCTCCCGCCTCGTTGGGCAGGAACACGTACATGCCGTGGCGACCACCCGAGTACGGCAGGCCCACCACGCTGAAGCCGCGGTCCCGGAACACACCGTACGGCACGGTCAGGTCGCCGGTCATCATGTTGGCCGGCACCGTCTCGTTGACGCTGACGTGGAAGCGTGAGTCCATGGCGGTGCGTGAAGCGTTGAACGGCGTCTGCCAGGAGCTGTTGAAGTAGACCACGTTGGTGGCCACCAACCTCGTGCTGGTCGGCAGCGGCTCCGTCAGCAGCTTCTTGATCTTGCCGTTGGTGTTGTCGCTCACCCAGGTGTTGATGCGGCGCTGCGAAGGTACCGGGCGGTGGTTGAAGTCCAGAGTCTCCACGGAAGCCTGGTAGAAGGAGCTGGCCGCCTTCTGGAACTCGGGCACCATGCGGAGGCCGGCGGCGGCGAAGAGCCGGTTGGCGATGCTGACCGTGCTGCCGTTGGAGTGGAACAGTAGCGACTGCAGCTGAAGGCCGCTCTGCTGGTGGATGAGCAGGTCCTCGATGCCGGCCGGGTAGCGGAGCGCGGCGCGCAGCTGGTCGTAGGTGCGGTCCGAGGCGCCCAGCAGCAGCAGGTTCAGCACGCTCGTAATGGAGAACGGCGAGAACACCACGTTGCCGCGGCCAAGGTGGTTGGTGCTCAGGTCCACCGTGAAGTCCACCATCGAGTTGGTGATGCTGAACGGCTGCGGCGACTGGGACGTGGCCACGTTGTCAGCGATGCTGTTCCGGGGCATGCCCAGCACCGAGTGCTGAGCTATAAAAACGGCCACAACCAGACCTGCGCAAAACCAGGAGAAAACGTGTCAACGACATTGTTGGCGGGGGTGAGCGCATGTCGGTTAATCCTTTGTAATGCAAGACCACAATTCCCAGCATCTTGTGGGATTTCGCCCTGCAACGGGTTTCCTGATTTGGCGGGACAGTATCCGTCCATGTTGATGTGCGAGACCGAACCGCCACAGCGATAAAAATGATTTATGGACATCGACAAGGGTATGCAAAACATTTCACAGTGTATTCGAAGCTGCAGATAATTTTGCATTGGATATAGACGGCGGTGGTTTAATTTCTCCGAAAATATGTAATTAAGGGCAAATCAGTGGTAGCCCACGACCGAAAAAGCTTTTTGCCAACAGCAATAGATTGACCAACACACAGACAAATGAAAAGATGAAACGATAAGAAGCAAAATGGCATTACACACGCCCTTCCGCTTACCTATGGCCCTCATTTTGCAGTCGATCGTCCTGTGTCGCTCCACTCGGTCTATCACTTCGCTCCTGATGCACTGCCCTCGATCACAGCACCAGCGACCCCGGCGGTCGGTCTCTCACTGCCGGCCTCAGCGCTGTGGCGCCGCTAAAAACGCGCCGCTCGACCCGGCTGGGTATTTCCAGTGTGGGATGCGCCGGCGCCCGTCCCCAGCCACCCACCGACCGTCCGTCCCCAGCCGTGACGTCAGCGGCCAGCCGAGTTTCCCGCCGACAGAGGCCGCAGCGGCAGGGGCGCGTTCAGGGTCAGCGGTCGGTGGGGTCGGACCCGCACCACCCCAGGGTATGTCGGGGGACGGGGAACATGGGGTGATGTTACACGGAATGAAAACTGGGCCGAGGATAGGGGTCGAGTCGGGAGGTTTGGTCATCGCTGGTTCTGGTCACGCCCTTGCTGAGCTGATCAGGGCACTACTGCGCTACCACTTGAGCGCCCCAGAATAACTCACACACACCCTGTTCGGGACGCCCAGCACGTGAGTATGATTATTTGAGGATGGTGATTCGGTGGCAATTGCGTCAGAGCCCGGAAATCACAAACCCCATCGCTCCGCGACGAGGTGACAAGTCACACCCTCTACTTTCAGGAAGTGACCACGGTGACATCACGAAATGATCCAACCCAGGCGTAACGCCACTGACGCTAGTTGAGTTGTACTCACGAAACATAACAGTGCTTGAAAGCTAGGAGAAACATGCTCCGTGGTTCGCACTCACACGCGGATAAGCGTCCTAACGGGCTGGGAGCGGACAACGTCCCGGGCGCCAGGATTTGAAAATTTCAAATAAAATTTCCCAGGCACCAAACGGATAAAACTAATTTGATAGGTGAGCAATAAAAATGCAGCAAAGACCGTTCGTTAATCGTTACTTTGCAATCGTCATAACATCGATAATCGTCAATCGCTAGTCGTTAACTCGTTCGGAAGTTAAAATGAGTCAGAATAATTGCCCAACGTTTCGTTGTATTAGCTTTATCAAGGGCTACAAGTACAAACATTCAAAAGTAGCAACATTTTCCAAGTTCGCACATTCGCATTGTAACCGGAAACATATTTAAAAACATATCGTGTTCGTGACATATTTTTGCAGCAAATAACATGTCACGATACATATTTAACCCTCGCATGTGTGCGGCGTTTGCCAGCTTCTAATGTGTAGGGGGGGTCGGTTGGACCCCCCCCCCTTGCCGTTTGGCCCCTGATCGAGCTAGAGCTTCGCGGAAAGAACGAGCGTGTTGCCCGTGATGAGAGGAAGCCGATGATACCCAATTTTAAGGTCCTAGGTCATTGGTTGACCTTCCAGGTCAGGTCAATGACCCAAAGTCGGGAAAATCGGGACCTTGTTGAAGCACTTGCTGTATGTAAGGCATAGGTATAAGTTCTATGAGAAAAAGCACTTTTAAATGGCCCTTTGTCAGTGGAAATTTTACACAAAGCCAAAGATCACCCGAATCGAAAGATAATGGAATCCCTGTACATTCGCGAGCGAAAACCAATCCTAAATAGAAATGTCTCTTCCTGGTTCATATTTAAGACTGTGTCAAGTACATGTCATCGCTTAGGTGCCTATTCATAGACGTGCATTTCGAGTATGTAGCACATGTACCTACTGATACTGTTGTAAACGTATCTAGAAATGATTGTGGGATTGTTAAATCACTGTTGTCATTTATTCTGGGGTGTGTGTGTGGGGGGGGGGGGAGATATTATAGGGAATACTCTTAAACTTTGTCTTGGCTATAGGACTTAACCTAATAACATATACTTCATTCGTTAGTTGTAGCAGCATTTTAGGTGAGCTCTATATGCAATGTGTTCACGTGAAATGTTTGAAAATGTGAATTTTTCTGCCGATATTGTGAGCTTCCCGTTGTGTCTGACAAAAGTTCTATCTGGCTTATTTTGATAATGACCTGTGGTCGAAATCATCAATAATTATTTCATTATTTCATCATTTGGTATTTCATTGTAAGGAGGCCATTTAAAAGTGCTTTTTTCTCATAAAATCGGGACCTGTTAGAAAGTCGTAAAGTGTGGCTGCTGAGGGGTTTTTCGGGGTGCTGATCACGAATATCGTGTTAGTTTTGATCACAGATGATGTCTTTAGGCATTTAGACCAGGTCGGGTCGGGTCAGGTCAGGTCAGGTCAACCAGTAGGCGTCGTGACGGGTATTCGTAGTACGTGTCAACCGCCTCTGACAGGTTCGTAACATGTTACGAAGGCACCAAAACTACTTCGTAAATGTTCAAATGGTTGCTAAATTCGAATTCAGCTCCAAAAACTAGCCTAGAAACATGTACAGCTCGAAAAAGTGAACCGAGGTCACCCGAGGTCACCAAAGGTCAATGACCTGACCTGACCTTCAGGTGACCTTGACACCCACCCTAATGCATGGAAGCAACATCAAATCACATGTTTGAACGTTTGAAACCACGAAAAGCTTGCAAACCCGCGGCTAATGCGAGCCGACATACGCAGAATCGCGATTCCGGCCAAACATGGTCTCGGAAAAGAGGTCACAGGTCAAAGGTCATTTGGGTCAGGGTCATGAAATTTTCAGGGTAGGTGTAAAATTGATCAATGTGAGGGTACTGAAAGTTTCGTCGCGATCGGCCGCTTTTTACGCGAGTTATTCGCGAAAAACCATGGGGGGGGTCCATCCGACCCCCCCCCCCCCTACACATGCGAGGGTTAACCCGCGCGGGGCTGGGGTCTCCAGCCGAACGCGCGGGGCTGGGGGGGGGGGTAAATTTTACCCCCCCCCCCCCCCCCTGTTATCTCCCGAACTAATGGTCCGATTTGGAAAATTCAAACGGCAATCGAAAGATCTCATCACGAACAACTAAAAACATGTACTTAATTTTAAGTTTGAGGTCAAGGACAAGGTCAGGTCAAGGGTACAAATTGCAAGTTCCTACAGTATCGGCCTTGCACCGTAGTTGCCGAAGAATGGAGTCATGGACTGAGACTGATCGCCCAAAACGTGTTCTTAGGCTACCAAGACAATATTCGTTGCATACAATATCATTCAGAGGTCAAGGTCAAGGTCAGGTCAGGTCAGGTCACCAAAAACAAAATATAGAAAAGGGCATGTGCGACACATGTTTTATGGGTCATTTTACTCATAGAATTCAATAGGCACACTCAATAAGTGATATGGACCACCTCTGGATGAATTTCAGGTCGAGGTCAGGTCAAGGTCAGGTCAAGTGAGGTCAAATTTTGAAGTTGGTTGTTAAGGCCTAAAAAGGTGTCTATCTGATGCAGTTTTTCACGGCGAATCGAATGGTGCTATTTTTGTTTCCGTACGAGGTCTAGAACTTCCAAAAAAGTCATTTTTTTCAAAAAAAAAATGTGTGTCGTGACGTCATACAATTTTGAATAACTCCCACATTTTTGAACCGATTCTTCTAAAACTTGGTATGTAGGTGCACATAGACCACGTCTCTGACATATATTCCGGTTTTTTCGATACGCTCAAAATTTTGGATTTTATAGTTATTTTCCCAAAAAAGTCAGTTTTTTTAAAAACTTTGGGCCAAAATCCAAAATTTTAAAAAACCGAGATAGCCATTTGATAGACAAAGTAAAATTACGTATATCCTTTTTTGTTATGTCTTGATTCCTTTAAAAATGAAGATGTTAGCGGCGTTTGAACTTTTGCCGTTTTTCAGGCGAAAATGGCGAACATGACGACACTAAAACGTCAATTTCTCAAACATTTTCCGACGGATTTCGCTCAAATTTTCAGGGAACGTGTCAAATTGATGTAAGAAAAGGTACTGAAAGTTTGGCGGCGCTGCGCGCCGCCGTTTTTGAGATATTGCAAATATTCGCGAGGGGGATAAAATTTACCCCCCAGCCCCGCGCGGGTTAAATATGTTTCAGGCTACACGACGAATGTGCGAACTTGGAAAATGTGGCTATTTTTGAATGTATGTACTATGTAGGCCCTTGAAAAGATAACAGCAAAACGTCGGGCCATTAATGTGTCCAATTTTAACGTACCAACGAGTTAACGTAGCTATTAACCAAGTAACGATGTTATGACGATTATAAAAAACACGATTAAGGAAAGGTATATGCTCCATTTTTACTCTCAACTTGTCTCATTTCAAAAACAGGTGCATAATGCTCCGTCATGAAAAGAAACCTAACCGTTCATTGCATCGCAATGCGAAGGGTAAGTAGCATATGTGTGAATATCGCCCAGCAAAAAGCCACAATGAGGAGCGTTCCTTCCGTTTTTGGCCCCGTCAGTTATCTGCTAGCGTGTCTTTCAGGATCGAGTCACACATAATGTCCCATTTTATCGTGTGTAGTCAGAGCCTGCCAATTCACCGATCGTGATCCTTTGAGCCATTTCCGGTGGTTCGACGGTTGACGAGAGTACGTGTTTACCGATGAAACGCTGTCACGCAGCATTATCAGCCAGCTGACTCAAAAAGCTGGTCAGAATCAGCCTATGGGCAGCCCGGGCCTTGTACAGCACTTATTGTGCAGTGAACATAAGGGTTAACAATAAAGGCAACTGCTTCTTCAATCATTCGAAACGCTAAACCTAATGATAACAATAAACACGCCTTCGCAGACACTTTTTGTCTATCACACCAAGCATGGGTATTTGTTGCAAATCTTCTTGGGACACCAGGGATTCATTCAGGAAATGTATTTAGGTGAAAAGAAACAACACTCACAGGCAGACACTCTGTACAACCGAAAACATTGCGTGCTTAAAGCGCTGATTCTGTCTGGTGAGTCGGTATCCGAGAACCATGTTTCCCGCTTGGACAGACGCAGATCCACTACAGCTGGGTAGTTACCCGAGTTCTGAAAAAGCTACCGCGACCGGTCTGAGGATTCATCCATCTTGCGTTGATACCTCGGAGTTCTGAATTTCCGTAAGCCTGAATTGTTACAAAGGGATATTAAGTGCAGCGCTAAGCATTGCGACACGAAATGTACCGAGACAGCTCGTTTCATATGATCACGAAAAAGTCATCGCATGCGGTCGAAACGATCGGATTAAGGTTATACCGTATACTCGTACATTCAACTTCACCATAAATAAATCAATCCGATGCAGCAGGCTATGCAACAGTTCAAACGCGTTCAGCGTCATGCCATCCCACAAACATTCAGAAACACTGCATCTATCTAGGGTAAGTTCATGGTGGTTCGCTTCGGAACGCATTGCGCCCACTGCAAGCTCTGTGACCTACTAGCAGGGTATGCGACTCCCGCGCGGGTCAGTGGCATTCCCCAATCGGCAGGACGCCCACGGGCCTCCTGGTAACATCCATGACCCCTGGCAGTCGGGCAGGCACCACCACTTTCCTGGCAGGGTCCGTGACCCTCGGTCCCGGCGGACAGGGACCACCACCCGCTCACGGGTCGGTCGGCAGGGATCGAACTGACGCCGTCGTGGCCAGCGATTGCTGCGAGGCGGTGCCGGGCAGACTCTGTTCCGAGGCCGTGCTGGGCAGCGACTGTTCTGAGGCGGTGGCCGACAACACCTCGGCACTGGAGGACTGCGACGCCCGCCGCTGACGGCGCCGGTACCGCTCCACCATCCTGGTACGGGCCCGGTGTCTGGAAAACGAGGAGGTACCGTCAGTTTCAAGCGCCAGGGACTGGGTACCGCTCTACCATCTTGGTACGAGCCCAGCGTCTGAAAAAACGGGGAGGTACCCGTGAGATACAAGCGCCAGGGACCGGGTACCGCTCCACCATCTTGGTACGAGCCGTGTCTGAAAAACGGGGAGCTATAAACAGCAGTTGCTGGTGCCAGAGATATGGTACCACTCCACTGCACTACGAGCACGGTGCCTAGAAAACTGGGAGGTATATACCAGTCAGTTACGGGAGCCGGGTACTGGGTATGTACCGCTCCGCCATCCTACCCCTGGTACGGGCACGATGTTTAAGAAACGGGGAGGCACCCGTCAGTTATAGGCGCCAAAAATTTGATACCGCTCCACCATTCTGCAGTACGGGCCCGGTGCCTGGAAACGGGGACGTACCCGTCAGTTTTACTTTTACGAGTGCTAGGGACTGGTTATCGTCCTGCAGTATGCACACGATAACCTGAAAACAGGGAGAAGTTGGTAAGAGACGGCTCAATACCCCAGTAACTATGTACCTGCAGGCACAGAACGTTCCTATCAAACCAGTCGGCAATGTGTCAAGCACAGCTCAATGTTTCCAATGATTTCAACAATCGGCAGCCGAACAGCATAATCATGCATATTCATCGGAAAAGCATAGGGGTCGTGGTTTCCCATGGCAGGTGGTAGCAGTGGCGAGTGTAGTCACATGCTACACCATGGACCCCTATGGGACACAGAACACAGACATCACAATTACGGGAACTGACACTAGTCTCCACACAGCTACAGGGTTCGTCCTGTCCGTAAGCCAATCAGATCAAGGGCGGTGCAACTATACGCATCCCATTGACACCGATGTAGAAGAGTGCGCGCTGCGCGTCTGATGTTGCAAAACGTTCGAAGTCAACATGTTGAAATAGACCGACTACTCCAAAGCTGACTGGTAAACTTATTCATCTTAGTCATGAAAAATACGTGATATTTATCAGTGGTAGCTGATATAATGGAATGCACGTCATGCGGAACTTCAGTGAAGTCTAAAAGGTACTACTCATCATCCAAACACTGATTAACGGCATGGCACAATGATAAGTCACCGTCGCAGTGAGGATTTCGATGAGCGGGTGATTCAGTCACTTTTTGACGTCAGACTTAATCACTCAGTAAGCGGGCTGGATGAGTTTCTAATAATTGACACGGAGCTATAACAGAAGTGTCATTTGACAGTTTAGTGTCCTTTGACAGTCTGGTGTCCTTTGACAGTCTAGCGGACGTCATGTGAGTATATGGCAAGTTTGGAGTGAATTTGAGTGCGGTGTTATATAATACTGAACGAGGCCGGTGTAAATAAATTTTCAAGACCGAGGTCCTTACTGGTTTTTTGAACGAGGCCGAAGGCCGAGTTCAAAAATCAGTAAGGACTGAGGTCTTGAAAATTTATCACCGGCCGAGTTTGGTATGTATTTTACTGTATGCCAACGATGAATTTATTTTCTGGACCGAAGCTCTTAGCCGACTTAGGAACGAGACCATCCCAAAATGTTGGTTAAGTGCATTCTGGTAATGCATTTTTGACCGTGGTCAATTTGCTTACACCAGTTATTACCACACCCCTCTGGCTAATGTATTTGAATAGGCCAGGCATACAGTAAAACTTATCCGGCCATAGAGCTACGGTTCGCCTGTAGCAGGTATAGCGTCATGGCTAAGGAAGTGCATGAGGTAAATCTCCAGGCACATTGCTTTACTCTCACTCGTATATGTGTATATTGCGCAATGTCAAATACCTACCTCCTGACAGTGATTCACTTCCACATATAAGCAGGTCAGCAGAAGATATACGCCCCGAATGGCGAGTCATATATGAAAATAAAATATTTCTATGAATAAATGCAGAATTCCAGAAAGTGAATAATGGGCATACGTGGACATCTCTTCACTGTGTGCATCTTATCTGAGTGTCTGATATTTTTCCAATGCATAAACCTCGTACGTACATACAGAGGTCTATGTTCAATGTTACATAACAATGCTTTGAAACCTTAAAGGCCCACACAGTCTCACAACGTCGCTAACGTGGTGCATTACCGGTATCCCCCGGTTTAGTGGTTATATCGACTTATCCTACGGTAGCACGTCCAGCTTGGAAATTCCTTTACAACCTTGAGCAGAATGTGAAGAATGAAGGATGCAGTTGTCAGATATTGCAGACAATGTGCTGCCACAGACATGCCATTTAATTGTTTGTCTGATTCCGTGCAGCTGCAAAAGCGTAAATTGACATGATATGATGTGCTAGGATTACTATGCATGATTTTTTCTAGGCAATCGAACGAACCCATCACAATAAAATCACAGCCTTAATACAACATTGAACGCATTTATAAAAGCATCGTTCTGGCGTAAAGCTGCTTCGTTCAGTGTGGGTGCCTATATAAATACAAAATATGCGGGGTGGGACCTGCGCGGGATATACCTACCCGTGCGCGGGATATCCCAGCCGGCCCTCATGTGGGGCATAATTAGTGCCGGGGCAAGGTTTAATCTGCAGGGGACAAACGGTACGTGTAGAGTATACGCCTGCGTATCACACAATAAAATTCTAACCTCACTTCAATGTCAGCACGGATTGTACAAATGAGGTCAATCAAAAATACGCCAAATTGCTCAAAGTAAATGCATTCCTACATCCCATCCATTTATTCTCAAATGGGTTCATCGGTTCACCAATGGCCATCGTCTCGTTGGTCGCGATTCCACCACGTCCCATAGGGCTATAAGAGGACCCTGTCCGCCGTAAGGGGATAGGGAGGTATTTCGGCCCACTCCAGTTTTAATATGTAAATTGTCAAAACAACATTTCATGACCATATTAACAGTATTTGCTGCTATTGTGAAGTTGTAGGTCCATTTAACTACTCCCGGCGCCATACGAATACCTACTCAAGTCCCTATGCATTCATATTGTTTTGGTGAAGCTATTTTGCTTTCTTCTTTGAATTACGCATAAAAATACGGTACGGACTGACACAATATCAGCCACGACCTTCCATGCATAATGCACATAAATAGGTACACATAAATATTAACATTTTTTTTTAATTAAACGTTGGCCACCGGAACAGCACAACCCCGCAGCGTTCAACTAATTTCTCTGCAGTTACGTGATGGCTCTGTCACTGGTGAAACAGATTATCCGTTATTGAGGACAGGACATTCTAACCACACCATAGGGGGTTAATCTGCGATCGGGGTTACACGGGTCAAATAGGTCACGCGGTTTATTGAGGTCAACGTCACGGAGTACGAGTGTGCGTGTAGGAAACTGGGTCCCGCATATACTAAATCAGATGATAACTTATTTTTATGGAACAGTTGCTGTAACTCATGTATCTATGGGGATAATAGTCGTGGTGATGGTGGCACCTGGTAAGCCAATAGTTGTGTCACATTATCATTCCCAGCGGCGGTCTCTGCCGAAACTCATCACTTAAAGGCAATCCTATTCTACCTCGTCTCACCCCGCTACGAAAAGCAACATTTTAAACACTATACAAACTGGGCGTTTTCCGGTTGGTACCCTGTCCACCAGCAAACTTGCCATTTTTTAGCAGTCACGCCTGTATGCAATACTCGCCTGTCCTTTTTCAGCTCCCACGCCTGTCTACCCGAAATACAAACCTGACCTTTTTCAGCTACCACGCCTGTATGTAATACACACCTGTCCTTTTCAGCTGCCACGCCAGTGCGTTACACACACCTGCCCTTTTTCAGCTACCACGCCTGCACGCAATACAAACCTGTCCTTTTTCAACTACCACGCCTGTATGTAACACACACCTGTCCTTTTTCAGCTGCCACGCCTGTCCACCCGAAATACAAACCTGTCCTTTTTCAGCTACCACGCCTGTATGCAATACTCGCCTGTCCTTTTTCAGCTGCCACGCCTGTCTACCCGAAATACAAACCTGACCTTTTTCAGCTACCACGCCTGTATGTAATACACACCTGTCCTTTTCAGCTGCCACGCCAGTGCGTTGCACACACCTGCCCTTTTTCAGCTACCACGCCTGTATGTAATACACACCTGTCCTTTTTCAGCTGCCACGCCTGCCGCCGCTGCTCGGCCTCGTCGGTCTCAGCGTCGGAGCCGTCGGGATCGACGGAGACGGGCCGCGGCCGCCGACGGGAGAGGCGCAGCCGGCCCGGACCCGCCTGGCGCAGACGTCCCTCCTTCTTCAGCTCGCGCACCGCCCAACTGGTCAGACGCTGCCGGAGGTACAGCGGGGTTCTGTGTGGAGAGCTGGGCAGGGCTGATGTCTGATTTTAAAATGAGATCTATGAAAGAATGAAAGTGACAGAAGAAAACCAGCACCAGGGCCCACCAGCACTGTCACCGCACGAATAGCTTCCCAAATATTGGCGACCTTTTTCAATGCAATTCAAAATTCACTCTAACGATTGATTTTGACCTGTAAGCGATCTCCCACCCATTTGCATCATTGCAATTATATGACAACCAAACACAATCCTCTCACGCGTCATGTTTTACTGAAAGATACGCGACTGTCAGGTTTTGGTCAGTCATCCATGGCCAGTCCAACACATCCGGGTCTATTCATCTACATTGGTTACCACGCCGATAGCGATTGCCCACCCGGCGTGGTATCGACACTGCCGACAGGAGCGAGACAGACCTGGGACTACCCCGGTGAGCACGTGCGTCACAGACGCCGGCCATCCCGGCGCCGCCCTTCGAGAAACTGGAACCAACCAGCCCCGAGCAGCTCACAGAATTTATGGGCCCGGAACAGCGACAAAACGACCCGTCTCTCTTATCCGTTGTGACGTCACGTAATGGTCATCTACAGAACTGCAGACCGCTGAAGATTTCCTCAACGTTCGGCTGTCCCCACGCCTTGGCATGTCCGTAACAAGACGAAATAGGAAATGAGTGTAAAATGACAGGAACAAAGCTACTTTCAGCTTTTCAACATTTATGTAGTATATGAAAAAGATGCGGACCTGCTGCTCGTGGCAAGTAAGTATGCGCCATATCATTTAAAGGCCCGATGACATAAAATCCCATTTCTGGAAAAGCAATTGAGGTTAAAATCGACATTTTACGTGATTCAATTTGTCAAATTATAAACTGATTGTTCTTCAGGACGCAATCTTTTTCTAGAAATATGATGTCATTGGGAAGATATTTCTTCAGTTTCAAGGACGTTTAGGGAACTTTTGAGCTCAAGTAATAGCCCGCGCCGGGCCGGTGCTCCGAGATTCCGCGCCGAGCCGGGGGGGGGGGGTGTCTGAACACCCCCCCCTTCTAACTCAGCTCCTGGGCCACGTAGCGACACGCGGTAAGTGGCAATCGAAAAAAACGTCAAAAATAAGGACGGAAACACTTCGATCATGTTTTGGTTCAGGTCAAAGGTCAGGTCACCAGAGGTCATGAAAGGTGACTATCTCGACGACTATCTCGGGAACCGATAGAGCTACAGCGCCGCGGAAAAGCGCATTCGATAGCCCTTTTACAGACCTTTCTGGATATTGTTCTCCGATTTGACCTAATGTCGACGGTTTAGCCTCCAGAGGGCAAAAACTCCAAAAATAGCCGTTTTAACGAAAAACGTTTTTTCGGCAATAACTTTTTACCCAAAAGAGCCATGACATTACTCTGGCCAGCATAGTGTTCCTCTCGTCAAGACGCGTCGAATGAACTATAATTTGACCTTGGAAGGTCAACTTGAAAATTTGACCTCAGGTCAAGGTCATGACCTGACCGGAAAAGGTCATGTTGCATATCAGTCCATCCGCAATGTCGAACCAAACAAATCTAAGGCGTTTTCAGCGCTCTAGAACGCCTCTATCAGAAGTTATTTGCGAAAAACTGTTAAATTATGTTCGTGACCTGAGATGACCTCGAGGACATTATGAGGGGTCACAGTTGCCATTTTCCGGTTCTGTGTGTCAATTTTACCTGCATCTCGATGTTTGAGAGAGTCTAGAATAGCGTTCGTGCAAAACAGACGCTTTTCAATTTTCTCCCATTGACTTATAATGGAGAAGCCGCAAAATTGACCTGACCTTAGGTCACCGATATCAAAATTCCGAGATGAACATTTTATAGATAATGTTGCTCTAATCAATCGCTGAAAGTTTCAAGGCAATCGATCAGTCGGTGCAGCTATGACGAGCATTCTTATTTTTTTCTGAGGTGAGGTCACTTGGCATGACCTGGTGACCTGACCTAAGGCGACCTGGGTCTGAAATTTTCACAACATGTGAGGAAAAGATGCACGAATAGGTGTGCCAAAAATGGCGGCGCCGTTTTTGAGATATCTGCGAAAAACCGCAGGGGGGTGTTCAAACATCCCCCGGCCCGGCGCGGGATAGTGACACCACCGCGCCCCACTGGGGTCTGCGTATAACACGCCCTACTGGCGGGGGGGGGGGGGGGCTATTCATAGCCCCCTTCCTAACTCCGAAACTACTGGGTCGATCGTCAAAATTCAAACGGCGTCTGATAGCCCCGGAAAAACTGTCGAGCGAAACCTAATTTCATTGACCTGGAGGTCACCGATAACGTCACAGGTCAGGTCAAAGTAAAAATAATTAGCATTTTGGCTTCTTCACGTTTTGGGCTCTGGCCGCCGTCTTACAAGTCAGATCAGGCTCATTTTTGGTTCACACACTCGTAAACAGATGCTCTAGATACCCTGAGGGTACCAAACTTGTACTTTGATTTTCAGGTCAAGGTCAGGTCATCACAGGTCACGAAAATATTATATCATGCGTCGGTCAAGTGACACATGTTTTATGGTCCATTCAGGCCAAAAATTTCTAATTTGATGTCGTATGTGTCATTCGAGGTCATTTTGAGTCAAATTTAGCTTAAGTCAGGTCACTTTCAGGTCAAAAAAGGTCAAATTTTGAAGTTAAAATTTTTCAACAAAAAATGTGTCTATTGGATGCAGTTTGAGCTCAGTAACACTATTTATATTGGCGTACGATGTCAAATACGTGCTGAAAAATTGATTTGAAAAATTAATAATTGTGAATTTTTTGCAATAATGCGTATAACTTGGCCATTTTCGAAGATATTTAGCTTAAACTTGCTAGAGTTAGTCCTAATAATGCGTTCTATCACATATATTCCGTTTTTCGAAAATACAAACACTTTTTGAAAAAAATGTAAAAATATAAATTTTGAATTTTATTATATTAAATTTTCGAAATTTTCAAAATTTCGAAAATTCGAGATAACAGTTTGATAGCGCAGTCTATTCTGAGTCCTCTCATGCAAGTAAATTGGATCTAGCTTAAAAACTGAGCTCTTGGGAGCGATTGCCGTGGTGCAATGTTTTGCGTCGAAATCGGCCGAACATGACGTCACTCTGACGTCATTTCCGGCCGATCTATGGTAGGTACGAAGCTCAAATTTTGACACATGGTGTCAAATTGATGCAGCCGAAGGTACTGAAAGTTTGGCGTCGATACGTCAAGTGGTTTGGCAGTTATTTCAGAAAAACGGGAGGGGGGCTATGAATAGTCCCCCCCAGTGGGGCGCAGGTTAACAGCCGACAGTCACAATTCTGACGGCCCTAAAAAGACGGTAGCTAAGCGCAATGCGCAATGCACTTACGACGAGCAATCAGCATAGCATACCTGAACCTCACTCTGACTGTGAAAGTGCTGTCCCAGCTCCGACACAAGGTCTTGAACTGCTTCGTGGATTTCTCTCCTCTCGAGAGCACAACGCCGTTCGTCCTTCCGAGCTCGCTCCCTGAAAATGTTTTCCACCATAACCTGCAAAATAGGCAACAAAATATGCATAGGTTATTCGATATAAATGATAACCTTAAGTGAGTCTTAACATACAGATAACAAATGCAATAATAAAAAGCAATTTATCATAGACGATCATAATGCAGTATTGGATACCATAACATAAGCGAGCAAGAAAAAAAATAACTTAAAATTGCTTTTTTAAGAGCGCATTTGTACACAGCTAGACCAACATTTGGTTTTCCTCTCACCTGGTACATTTCGAGGATGTTTCCTTGCGGCATCATTGTGAAAGCATGTTCCCTGAGCATCGTAAAGCGGCTTTTACCAACAGCGACAGTGGCACTCCTTCTTGTGCGTAAAGGTCTTCTCCTTCTTCGACGTTCTTCAATATGCTCTGCTGACGGACGCCCCCTCCGCGATCTCGCCATTTTTATGTTTTCTATATTTATCTTACCTCTGAATTATACTTGACAGAACTAACGGTGGCATAAAGTCAGGAACACCTGTTACATTATCGTTTTCGACCAGCAAGGGCATATAATTTACAGAGTGCAGTTACATTGAAGTGCACGGTTGTACTATTATATTTGGCTGCCAAAAGAAATCCATCAGCTTTGCAAATTTAAAGCCAAAATGGAGCCAAATTTAATGCATCATGAAAATTTTCTCATGGATCATGCGTGTTTCCATTTTGCATAGACTGGATTTATTTCGTCTATGGCACGTGACGCACTTGACTTTCTTATTCCACGAAAAGTAGACCAATAGGAATCAGTAAATGACGATACATACGATGTTGTCCGATATTATACGACAAATGTTCACATCAAACCCATTAAACCTCACAAAAAAACATTAAGATAAATCATGAATCGCTCTCCGCTACGTTGGGCTATTACCAGACCTGCTTGCTTTAATTGGAAGACGGGGAAGGGGTGCTTGGCTCCCGGCATCTCGGAAACTACTCGATCTAGTCTGCAATACATACCTACCAGGTGACCCAGCTATTGACTTCATAGCTCAACAGTTGGGATGGAACCGATAAGGTCAAAGGCTGCACGTCAATTAGATTGTCTGAGTTGTGACCCGGTGCACACAACAGAAAAAGATGCGTTGTGTTAACGACTTGGGCGTCGGAACCTCACGAAAAGTGTGTGTGTAAAGGGGGCAGCGAAACTTCAATGTCACTTTGTGGGAGCCCCAATACCCCCATGAAGAAATTATTTTCAGTTTTGTGCTCATCTCACCTTGCTGAACCATTTCCTGCTCTTAGTTTTGTACTTAAACCAAAACTAAATATTTTACTTTAAAAATGGCTAAAAAGTGGGCCATGGCCCCCCACCCCCACCCCCACCCATCCCTGTTCTTATGCTTATGGTTGACGATGAATACTTGCATTATCATTTTCCACCGCAATTTTGATGGCGACTTCGACGCTAATCTATATGAGAAAGGAGAGTAGAGAGAGAGAGAGAGCGAGAGAGAGGGAGAGGGGGAGGGAGAGGGAGAGGGAGAGGGAGAGGGAGAGGGAGAGGGAGAGGGAGAGGGAGAGGGAGAGGGAGAGGGAGAGGGAGAGGGAGATGGAGAGGGAGAGGGGGAGGGGGAGGGAGAGGGAGAGGGAGAGGGAGAGGGAGAGGGAGAGGGAGAGGGAGAGGGAGAGGGAGAGGGAGAGGGAGAGGGAGAGGGAGAGGGAGAGGGAGAGGGAGAGGGAGAGGAAGAGGGAGAGGGAGAGGGAGAGGGAGAGGGAGAGGGAGAGGGAGAGGGAGAGGGAGAGGGAGAGGGAGAGGGAGAGGGAGAGGGAGAGGGAGAGGGAGAGGGAAAGGGAGTGAGAGAGGGAGAGGGAGCGGGATAGGGAGAGGGAGAGGGAGAGGGAGAGGGAGAGGGAGAAGAAGAGGGAGATGGAGAAGAAGAGGGAGAGGGAGAGGGTTAGAGAGGGAGAAGGAGAAGGAGAGGGAGAGAGAAGAGAGTCGACCAAAAACAAAATGCACACTTTTATACATACACCTGCATTATGAAAACGAGCTTGTTGGGGGAGGGGGTGTCCAAACCCCCTACCCCCGGTGGCGTAGCCCCTCCGAGCTGCACTCGGCTTGGACAAACAACTGTGTGATAAAGGTACGCACGAGGGAAGGTGGACCGACGACGAAGATCAACTCACTCACCGGCCTCCGAGATGTCGTCGGAGACGACCCAGACATCCGGAGCGCTCTTCAACAGACCGGAGTCGCCGCCGCACCTGCACCGGGAGCGGGGCGTGCCCCCATCGCGCGGGTGCCTGAACCCGCCGCTGCGCGCCGGACGGCGGAGGGTGACACGGCCGTGACCGGGTCAGTCAGCCCCGCGCCGGTGCCGGTGAGCGCGGCCGCTCGCTCGCCCGTGGCTGCAGCCGTCCAGCCGGACGTGCCAGTAGCCGGGGCTGGAGCCGCGGCTGCCCCGGCCGCGAGTGAAATGATCGAGACGAGCGCGCAACCATCAGTGTCTGAGGTGTCTGCTGAGGCTGCACCGGCGACGGTAGGTGAGCCAGGAGCCGCGACTGACGCGGTCGAATCGAGTGAGGAGACGTCGACCGAGTCGCCCGAGCTGGAGGCGTCACCTGCTTCGCCTGCTCCGGAGTCCATGGGGACGCCGTCGACTTCGCTGAGCGATGCCGCTGAGCCGTCCCAGCCGGTAACGGACGACGGTGAGACTGCCGCCGCTGGAGGTAAGCACGGGAAGCGGGTCGGTAAAACCCGCAAAACCCGAGCAGACAAAGTAAAGAAAAAGTAAACAATGAATGTTGTGTAGTGCCGCGGTACTTGGACTTGACTGTTGATGTCCACTGCTTTCACTGAGCGGCAGGTCGCCCGCTCAGGGCGCTTCTATATACTTACCCGGATGATATGTAGTTAGTAAGTTATTCCGAGTGCTGCGGCAAGTAACTCGCTTCGTGTCTGTTTTTCGGTCAGTTTGACCCAGTTAATTTCAGTTAACTCAGATGGTAGGTTGAAGAGTGTGTTTTTCCCTCTTATTTTGTGTCGAGGTGTCTGGTTTCGATGACAGGTCGATGGATTGGTTTAGTCATTGATTGGTTTAGTCATTGATTGATAACGAGTGTGTCCGTTTGATGATTTTGATGTCCGTGATTGATAACGAGTGCGTTAAGTCCTCGACCGCTGTATTTTTGTTCCCCGTATATTTATTTATGATTTGGCTGTATCTGCATACTAGTTTATCATATATCTATTCCAACTACTTGCGAGCTTCGCGATTGGCCGCCCGCCCAACGACCCGGGCGCTCGGCCCGCCCCACCTGTGACTTTTGTCCCTGCGCCGGGCCACCGTCCGACTGCGGAACATCCCTCATCCCGGTCCTATTTTTCCTTTCTTTCTCTGAAACGTTGTTATACTACTTTGTTCTCCGTCAGCTTCATTGATCCCCTGACCCAATTGCATAGTGTATCTCTGCACGTTTGCTCCTCCTCTCTTTCGTCCGGACCGCGGTGGACGCCCCGCCGCCCTCTAGCACACGCTCAGGCCGCCTCTCCCCTCCTCTCCTTTCCCCCAACGCTTCCCAAAACCCGCTTCAACCTTACCCAATTCTCTCCCAATTCTGTGTCAAATCATGCATCATCGAAACTATTTAATTATCCTCCAGACATGCGTATTCTTTTGATTATCGGAGGAATTGAATCGAACCCTGGGCCAATAAATAACAAGAAATTATCGAATAATATTACGATAGCCCATGTAAATATAAACAGTATAACGGCCACTGGCAAGGTCCAAGAGCTAACAAATTTTGTCGACGTTAATAAAATCACAATTCTCGCACTCACTGAAACTAAATTGGACGACTCAATTAACCCGAACCTTTATACTATTGACAATTTTCATCCACCCATTACAAGACACAGAGACAGACACGGAGGAGGCACGGCAGTATACATTCACAGCTCACTTACATTTTCCAGAATTTCCTCACTCGAATTGCCTGGTGAAGAATGGATTTGGATAAAAATAAAAACAAAAGACTCTACATTTTTACTGTGCTCAATCTATCTCCCACCCAATATTCCAGCACATCGACAAGAAGAGTTTATAGACAGACTAACCGACAGTGTGACTCGTGCACATCTCTACTCCCCAAATGTATTATTGACAGGCGACTTAAATGTTGGCAACCTATTCCTCCCTCCAGATACCTATCAACATAGTGGACTGACAGCTTTCGACCGAAAATTAAGAGACGCAACTGACACCATTGGACTAACGCAACTCATCGACCAACCTACGCGTATTGAAAATGACACATACAACCTACGAGACCTCTTTTTTACATCCAATACTAAATTTATCATTGATAGCGGACTTCTCTCTTCATTTTCAACACTTGACCACTTTCCAGTATTTGTGACGCTATCAATCCAGGGAGAAAGGAATGATGACAAATATGTAACCGAGTACTGGGACTATGCAAATACAGACGCCGATAAATTAACACACATTTTACAACAAACAGACTGGACAACAATTCTTAACAAGGACACTGATGACGCAGCGACTGATTTTACTAACCGTATAATTGACGCAGCCAAAGAGTGCATACCGATAAAACAAAGCAAACGAAGACATGACAAACCTTGGGTGACACCAGAACTTCTGAAGGAAATTAGGAAACGTGAACGTTTATTTAATGCTGCCCGAAAACGAAAAACCGACAAACAAGCGTGGGCAAAATGGAAAACCCAACGCAACTTCGTGACAAATTTGAATAGACAACTTTACGACGAACATGTAAAAAATAAAGTATCACTTCTACTTCAGAACAAACACGACCCTCACAAATATCATAAAATTTTAAGAGACATAACAGGTCATAAACAAAACCATTCCATACCGACACTCATACAACACGATGGCACAACAGCGACAACTAACACTGACAAAGCCACCATGCTGAATACATACTTTGCCTCACAAACACAACTTGACATCACAAACGCACACATTGCACAACTTCAAACATACACAGCAAGAAACACTGAACCTGTAGTGGCGCGACCATAATCAGGGAGGGTCGTTCTCAAAACAAAGCATGTGACTTTTCGGTTTGAGCAGCGACTAATTTAATACTTTTGTGTCAATTTGTTGACACACTTTGTTTTGTTTAGTTTTGTTTGAGTAATTTAAATTGTTTACATAGAATCTTCAGTTGTGGGAAAGGTCATTCTCTTAAAACCACTTGAAACTGTATTGTCTCACACTTTGATAAAATTGTCGTAATGTTACCTTTGATTTGATTGGTTTGGTGCAATATCAAGGAATATACAGGAAGACTAGAAATCAGTGCGTTTTAAAGACCGAATCGACCCAGAAGATTCTACAGTTTTAAGAGAAGACATGTCAACTCCAAGCCGTTCGTTGTCAGACTTGAGACGCAAACGGGGACAAGAGCTCGCCGCTTTGAACAGGATAAGGCGGAGAGGGATTGTTTTGCTGGAAATTAGTGCCACTCGTGGGGAGATGTGGGCGATACTTAAGGAGCTAGACGATGCTTTAAAAAGGTTGCAAGATGCCAACTGGAATTACTTCGACCGTATTGCGGGAGACGAATTTGAAAGAGAGCGTGCTGAACGCTATGAGCAAGAAGCAGCCGATAAGTGCACCGAATTGCAGGACCTGATCCTTGCCAGATTACAGGAAGGGCGGAATCAGGGTCACGTCAGTGATCAAGGA